ATCCTCCAGAACTCTCTACCCCAACCTGTCCATCTATCTCCCACACTGACTGCTTTTAGGCGATCCCTTAAGACTTATCTCTTCGGGGAAGCCTATCCCACCTCACCCTAACCACTGAACAATCACTTTCTCAAACAATCATCCCAACACAGCTCCCTCCTCATGTATCACTGGCCCCTCCCTTTTAGATTGTAAGCCCTCACGGGCAGGGCCCTCCTTACCATCTTGTCTTAAATTGTATTGTGACTGTAATGTCTCCCTGTATATTGTAAAGCGCTGCGCAAACTTTTGGCGCTATATAAATCCTGTATAATAATAATAATAATACACGCCAGTGCTTATTTGCTGAAACAACCATATGGAAGACAAACAATTGTCGGATACATTCATTGGGAGACAAGTGTCAATTCATGAATGTGTCAGCAGCCATATCGTGCATCATTTCTCCAAAAGTGGTGGAAACTAGACTTGTGTGCCGTCAAAAAATTTGTTCTGTTTCGTTTCGTTTCGGAATATCCGTTATTTCGTATTTCGTAATTCGTAACTGAACTCAATTCGGATTCGGATTCGTACGAAATACGAATTTTCGTTAGTGGCGGTTATAGTTTCGTAATCTTTATTTAACATCTTACTCACATAAGACAGTAAAATCCACATAAAACAAGCAGCTAGAAGTCATCAGCGTCTCTGCCTGTCGGTGACCGTGGAGCTTCAAACAGATAAGATTACGTTCAGTGTGGCACCATTGAATTTGACCTCTGCCTTCTTACCTGGCTGACTGGTGTGCGATGTATTGCGTGTGCCCGGCTGTTATTATTACAGTTCTCCAAGCCGTCAGGCAGCCCGGTGGACGGTCCCCTGGGGAGATGGAGGAAGCATTCTGTTCGGGCTGAGGCACCAGAGGGGAAGGGTAGGCTGTGCAACATACAGAGGAGGCAAGACAGGAAGATCGGGACAAGAAGGTAATGTCCCGTGCTGACAGTGAACTACTCATGTCTCAGGGTCTGATTAGGAAGCTGCATTAATTCACTGTGGATGGCTGCGGCTTCCTCATCAGACCCTGAGACATGAACAGACTTGCGGAGACATCTGAGCATATAAGCACACAAACATCGATCGCACCTTTACCCGCTCACAGTCCCCTCTGCTCACCCTCTGCCTGGGGGCCGCCCCCATGGAAAATTCCGCCTAAGGCAAACGCCTAGTTTGCCTCGTGATAGATACGCCCCTGGTGGAAACATGACGTTCTGTTCAGGACAGGATCCAAACCACCTATATTGCCATGGTGAGACTTGACACTGGAGAGCTGAACCAATGCAAATGTGTATGATGTGTCTTTGTCAATTCACTACAAAATTACAATAGACACTGACATACTCAATAATTACAGTTTTTTCCCCAAATAGTTGTGCAAATCTTCATTTATTACTTCTTCAATCATATGAAAAGTAAATTCTTAGTCACTTTCAAGATACAATCATGTGCCGATGGTGTGCAGAAATAAAAAGAAAACCGACTGAGCCCTAGGCCTAGAGGCTAATAAAAGTACAATCCACAACTATTACGTTAGATGATCACATAAAGGAATAAAACAATCATAACACCAAAAAACCTCAATACATAGACAGTTACAGAGACATTGATGGGAATTTATCAAAACTGGAGCAGAAAAAATCTGGAGCAGCTGTGCATGGCAACCAATCAGCTTCTCTCTTTCATTTTCAAATGTTAGCTGAACAAACTGAAGAGAGAAGCTGATTGGTTGCCATGCAAATCTACTCCAGATTTTGTCTGCTCCAGTTTTGATAAATTCCCCCAAGTGATTTTAGACTTTTTATTCTCATTTATATGGATGGCTAGGGAGCGGTAAAACCAGGCAGTTGACCTGTGGTTTTACCGCCCCCTGGATGCCTGCTGCAATGTTAGCACTGTGCCTGAACAGTGCATTTGTATACATTGACACAATTCTGGCAAAAGGTACACAGCATGTTGCACTTGACAGATAGGTTTCCGCTTGTCAAAAACTACCATTGCAATGAATGAGATCACACTGCAACCACGTGGGTGTGCAGTTGCAGCATGGTGTTGCAATAGAAAATCCCCATAAAGATTTAAATAAATGCTGCATTCAAGGGGCGGCAATATAATCATTTGGAATACAGTCTCTCTTCTGAAAACAAATCCCTCTGTCCCTCTTTCCTCCTCAGGTGTCCCTCATTTGGTCCAATATGTATATCTCATGAAAAAATGTAATATCTCTGAAGGTGCCTATACACCTTACAACCATCACAAGACTTGTGTCTTGCGATGGTTGTAAGGTACTTAAAAGCTCGTACGATCTGCCTATCTTGGACAGGCAGATCGTACGTGCGATTATCGCAAGCCACGCCCCCCTGAGGGGCGGGCTTCCGATGACCTCAATGCTGAACGGCAGTTGTCGTCCAAACATGCCACAAACCCGCCGAAAATCGTATGATTCTCGTGGGTTTTCAAACATGTTCCTTGCACAAAAGACGTGCGATCGTACAGTAGAAACGGTCGCACGGCTTCCATACACTTTGCGATTATCGTACGATTGCGGGATTTCCCCGCGATTATCGTGCGATAATCGCAAAATGTATGGGCACCTTTAAAAGTGTTTACTGCATCTAACTTTTTATCCAACCTCTAAAGCTGCCCATAGACTGTGCGATTATTGTATGATAATTGCGGGAAATCCCGCGATCATGCGATAATCGGTATGTTGATGGAAGGCGTGCGACCGTTTCTACAGTACGATCGCACGTCTTCTGTCGAACAAGCAGGCTGGAAAACATCAGCGGGCGTTTGCGATCATTGCAAGTACGATCTGCCTGTCCATGATATGCAGATCATTAGTTTTTTTATTTACCTTACAACCATCGCAAGACAAAAGTCTTGCGATGGTTGTAAAGTGTATGGCCACCTTAAGGCTCCATTCACATGTATGCAATGCGTGAAATGTCACACATGCTCCCACATTGCATAGATGTGAATGAAGCCTTAGATGTTGGATAAAAAAACCTTAAGAAATTAAGGCTTTAACCCTTTGACTGGCAGAACCATTTCTGCATTTTTTGACCGCATGTTAAAATACACATTTTCGGCTTGAAGTTTAGTTATAATTAGTTATATTTACTGAAAGCAAAGATCCTGTAGAATAAAATGCAACTTGTTATGTCACACGATATTTGTGCAACTGTTTATCAAATGTTTTGCAAAAAATTATTTCAAATTAATTTTGGGTGGCTAATAGTCCCCTAAGTCCTAGCACATTATAAGTGACAAGTTCTGAGAAGCTGAGCACAAAACAATATAACAATTACCCAAAAGTAGATTGAAATAAAAGGGATGGGAACAATTAACATAGGAATTTGGTTATGTTTCATGCTTATCTGACCCAAACAAAAAAGAAAAATGTCACACAAAAATTGTATCTTTTAGTCTTCACCACAATAATAAAGACAGAGCATGAAACCAAACACCGTATCATCTAAATAGCCTCATTCACACTGCCCTACAATATGCTGCATATATGCAGCATATGCAAATATACAATTTTGCTCTTGCGTTGTGTGTGAATGAGGCTTAAGAAACCGGGATAAAACAGACCAAAATAGATCCTTCCTGTTGGTTCAACCTGGAATTTACTATGTACAGAGAATCAGACCCTCTTCATGAGTTACTGTTTTACTAACTGTTGTGATGCACTCTTTGCATTTGGAGGAAAATAGGTTTAACTTTCGCACACAGAAAGGCTTTTTCACTGTTAGAGCAGTGAAAATGTGGAATTGTCTTCCTCAGGAACTAGTTCTAGCTAGCTCAGTTAATTGTAAAAAAAAATCTGGATGTATTCCTAAATGTGCAGAAACCAACTAGATATTAACATTTATAAGTAAAAACCACCAGTGATTGTAGATATAGGGATATCTGATTGACAATGGGAATCAGGAAGGAAATATTTTCCCGTGTTGAAGCATACTGTACCATATGATATAAGTTTTTTTTTAACTTTCTCTAACACTACCCTTTCCTTAGGCTGACATTGCTGCTGTCCAAAGGTGTCTGTTTATTCTCCTTAGATAAAGTGGAGGATTGAGTGTAGCCACCCTAAGCTAGGAAGTGTGACACTGGCCAGATCACCACGTGGAAAAAAACACAAAAAGAAAACTAATGCAAAATGGAGCTATTATATCTAAGGACTTGTAAGCTGCAAAATATTACAATTATATTCTTGGGTTTATATACACTGAGATTGGGTTTATAGTCTGAGACTCCTCTGCTACAGGTGCTCTGTTACAGCTGCACCCCTTGTAGGTATATCCCAAGACCTCTCCTTTTAGCCCCACATCTAATCACTGTCTAAATCTTGCTGGCTTCACCTCTGTAGCATTTCACAAATATGCCAATGACACCCCATCCCAATCTGACCAACTGTCTCCAGCCGTCCCAGAATGTGATCATAGGTGATCCCTGAAAACTCATCTCTTAAGTGAAGTCTACCCTGCATTTACTTCCTCCAGCAACTCACCCCACACAGTTATTACCGTTTGTAGGACTTTCCCCTCCCTTCTAGATTGTAAGCCCTAAAGAGCAGGACCCACTAAAGAGCAGGCGTCCACTAAAATCTGCCCAGTAGTGTATATGATATTCAATTGCCAGCTCCTTTAGGTGCAGTGACTGGTTATTGATTATTCTGAGTTCTTTGTAAATCATGGTGGCAAGAGTCAACACTATTCCAGTAAATCAAAAAATGGAATAGAAAAAATCTGCAATTCTGATGTTTATGTATAATAAAATCCTCTTGTTGTTTCCCATTAATATTTTCTGTATTAATATATAGAGCAACTTAATTGTCAAATAAATATAACACAAATCAAAATGTCCATTAACTGCTGTAATGTAACTAACAAAGCAAAACGTAATTTGTATCATTCAATAATATCTCAACAAAATGCATCAAGTGTAATGTTTCAACTTACGTTCTTCCACTTCACAGCTGCATAGGCAGAACACACATATCATCGATAACCATCCCAGGTACACACGATTCTTTACAAGCATTTTGTTCTTATTGTAGCAAAACACACAACTTCAGTGTTCAGGGTTCTAGTAAGTGTCCGCAGTTCTCAGATATGAGCGATAGAAACTCTGCCCAAGACATAATAGTAACTTGTTCTGTTTTTCTGCCAATAGGAATATTTGTTGCTTATGACATATTAGTTGCTAGGCAGACGCTTTCTGTTCCATGTAATACAGGAGGAATGTTTGTTATTCAAAAGCAAAAGGTTCTGTAGTGAGGTTTAAATAGGAATTCCAGGAATTAACTTTACCCCTGCACTGCAAGGGTTAACTGCTTGTTTTGGTCTAGTGGCTAGATTAACCACTTTAGCCTGGTTCACACCACGGCGGCGTTTGTGAGCAGTTGGAAAAGTGCTTTTAAATACCCAACACAAGAAATCCCATGATTTACAATGGCCCCTGTCCACACCTGAGCAGCAAAACGCCAAATGCCTGAAAATGTGCAGGAGCTTCCTTGAGCAGTTAAAGGGTTTCTAAACCCTCAGCTTTTTTGCATATATCTATATAGGGCTAGCAAGCAGTAGATATATGTAAAAAAAAAAAAAAAAAACGCTTTAGCAGCGGTTTAAACTTACCTGTATCTTCCCCGCGCGCTCCAGTCCGAAAATGTGAAACCGCTCGGGCGACCGCAAAGGATCTTGGGGCGGGCACATGCGCAGTTCACATTTTCGGCGAGGAGGGACACAAGGTAAGTCTATGGACACGTGCACCCGCATGCAGACACAGTGGGACAGGAAGTGCCAGCAAGGACAGAGGAGTCAGCGCTGGATCGGAGACCCGCCGCAGTGCTGGAAGGACAGGTGAAAACGACGGGAAAGAAGAAGATCGGATTAAGAGACATCATTTAAGGTAAGTGCTTTCATGAACGTTCTGTTGAGGCAAAACATTTTTGCCTTTAACCGCTTGAAGACCAGGTGTTTAGACCCCCCTTCCTGCCCCGGCCATTTTTCAGTATTCAGCGCTGCGGTACTTTGACTGACATTTATTTTGTCATGCAACGCTGTACTGAAATTAATTTTATACCATTTTTTGGGGACAGATAGAGCTTTCTTTTGGTGGTATTTAATCACCACTGGGGGTTTTTATTTTTTACTATATTCAGGAGAAATTACTGAAAATTTTGAAATAAAAAAGTTTTTTTTTTACATTATGTTATAAAACAACTAATATTACCCACTTTTTTGGTAATATATAAAAGACGGGGTCACGTCGAGTAAATAGACACCAAACATGTCAAGCTTAAAAATTGCGCGCACCCGCGAAATCGCAAAAAACTAGCATACCCAAAATTGGCCATAGGCGACGCTTTAAAAGCTTTTACAGCTCATCAGTTTAGTGTTATCAGTGGTTGATGACCCTAGAATTATTGCTCTCACTCGGACTATGCTCGTGCGCTTGGTCATGGGTGGCATGAAGAGTCAGGTTCTAACCGACTGTTCGCAGGGCAGCCATCAGAAATTTTGGGGCCCCTTACACGGCTTTAGGCCGCCTCCCCCCCCCCCCCCTGCGCGCCTTCTGGCGCCGTGCGCTG